AAGGTCCCCTAGAGTACAAGGTCCCCTAGTTCTCCTATTCGTACTGCAATGGCAAGCAAAAAAGCTAGTGAATAGGTTTGTCGCACCTGTACATTACGCATAGTGCCCAGTCGTTTTCTAGTATTCAAGACCCACCGTACTCCACCTCATTGATCACAGAGTTTGGAATCAGCTGCAGCTCGTTCATTTGGAAGGAAGCAGGACTGACAGCGTTTACGATAGGTGTGTCTTTTAGTGAAACAGAAAGTCTAGCCCAATTCTTCTGGCTGTCGAATTAGAAGTGGAAATAAGGAAAAAGAACTAAATGAACTCAGGTGCCGTTCTGGTCGTTCCGGGAATGTCGGCCTTATCAGACGAATATGGTCGTAGACCTGTGACGGTCATCTGTTTATTCATCGCGTAAGTTTCATCTACCCTTGTTCGTAGTTCCTACAACTTTTTTCAAGCTAGTCATCTGTGAAGACATAAAAGGTTGATGTTTTCGTTCATCAACAGCGATCATATCCTTGTCCGGCGCTCGCGCCGCCTTCGCCACATGTAGGAGTGAGGTATGTGGGGATCAGTTTTAATTGCCCTCAGATGATTGGGTCATACTGTGTGAGAGCGTACAGACAATGGCATCAATCAGAACGGACGAGCACTGTGCAGACCTCCTTGATCACAGAGTTTGGGGTCGGCTGCAGCTCGTTCATTTGGACAGCCACTCTGGCAATCCTTTCGCAGGGGTTCAGGACGATTGATCTCATCCACACACTCGCAATACTCTAGACGAAGTGCTGTGGAGAAGTAAGATGCAGCATATCTTGTGTTCATCCAATTTAGTGGGGCTTTTACGCTGTTTAAGCAGAAAAGTCTTCCAGAGCACTGTGTTTTTAGGGATACAGCGTGAACGGTAAGTTTCAAAAAAAAGTTTGGAAGAAGAAGGGGAACAGACTACCCCCCCCCCCCTTTTTAAATCTTTCGATGCCATTCCACGCTTGGAAAATGTCGTGCATCATTTAGAATGGGAAGGCGTGTGAGTAATGCGAGAAGGCATCGGACACGAGGGATGTTTACATCATTTTAGCGTTGTAAACAACATACTTTGACGGAACATCGAGAGGGCAAACCAACTCTACTCGAGCATCGCTTGTGAGGAGATTGTCTTACAAATGAATCGAGCGATCACGATGTTTTGTGAAACGGACTGGTTTTGTTGCTCCATCATATACGATCCTAACTATGCGATATCCGTGAACGCTCTAGCTGCGTATCCCTGGGTGGAAGAGACGATGAACGACTAAGCTTCAGTGTTGAGAAGAAAGAACAGGCTTGAGGAATACTTAGGCAGTTCATACGCCCGACTTTCCTGCCCAATGGTCCCTTTTGCCTCGACTCACGCTTTAGAGACGCTTAGCGGGATATGGAAATAATCTGATACTGAAATAAGGTGTCCTAACCCAAACGGGAGGCGACTGATATAATAAACCTCTTCCCAAGGTTAAGTATTGACAAATCCATGGCTTTTCGTTCGTTGGAGTCGACCTTCAACAAAACAGATGAAAAGCGAGAGTTGAAGTCAAGGTTCTCTTCCGCTTTCATGCTTGGTCATCTTGAAAATTGCTTAACATTGGTGAACGTGAACCCATTACGTTCTTATGTCCCACTATTTCTTACAGGTTTGTTTGTCATTCACTTGCATCCGTCGCGCCAGATTATATCATTTTCATAACGCTAAGATTCATTATTGGAGCCTCAAGCGACGTGGGTTTTTATAAACTCATTGTATATTCATGCACATTGCGCACTTGTAGCAGTAGAGGTGCCAAAAAGTTGCACATTTCTTCACTATATCCCCTGATTCAAAAATACTCCTACAGGGGCCAAATTTCCTGTCACTCCATCTTCATCGAATGGGTACCTTACCTGTTCTAAAGAAAGCTGTGGTGGGGAGGAAGATGGATGTAAAAACTATTGAATGTTGCTCATCATCTTGTGTGAACTTTTTTCTCTTCTGGGAAAAGTGAAATTTCGCATCGCTCAGCAATAAATGGAACTCTTCCTGCTTCATATTAGAAAAATTACAGACATACTACTCCGTACGCACCACTCTTACATGTGAACTATTGCCGTCGAGGAGCAGAGCATGGATCACTGTCGTACAGACGATAGGTGTTCTTTGAAATACATTCGGGATTTGAGCTGAACCACATAGTTGTATATAAGAGACTCGATCTCGGATGCAAGCCATCCGGAAGTCAATTACGGATTTGCTCACAGGCCTAGGAAGGAAGGTCTTTCAGGGCGTGGGACGCTTTTTGAAAATGGTTTTTTGCATGGTATAGGGGCATGAGCACTGAGTATAAAACTATGATCCATTTCCGCTGAATGGCCTTCTGAATGCCAAAAAACGACTGAAAACGACTTTGTCAGAAATCGCCGTTTTAACCCACTCAGCGTCGCTTGTTTCATTCATGGTGTCGACTGTCCGTACAGTAGAAGGCGCCAGTTGGCTGCGCATCGAAAATAATGTGAAAGGTAGCCAAAAAAGGGGGCCACATGTTGAAAAGTGCAGGGAAGTTTCATATAGGCTCTCCACGGTTACGCTGCCAGCAGCGTCAGATGGTGTGGTGGATAGCAATGTGGACTTCGAGGAAGGACGACTAGGATGGGTTGGTGGTTCGGAGATTCCAGGGTTAGCCGTTTTGCATTTGATGCTGCCACCTCCAGATTGGCTCCATATTGCACCAGGGCCAAAGCAAGTGCCTCACTGGTCATGGTCGTGACCAGGGCCAGTCAGGCACTTGCTCTACAAACCGATGGAATTTGTTGTGTGACGCACTATCAGTGATCAGTGAAGGAGCTTCCAGGCTCAACACTCCCAGTCCTCCGTTCCTACTTCCGA